GGCTCCTGAGTTCTTGTGGTTGGATTGTCTGGGAGAATGTAATGTTCATCCTGGTGATAGTTGGTAAGACCTGCAACCCTGCCAAGGCAGAGCAAGGAAGCCCTAATACAGTTTCACTCCTTGCTGTGAGCTCAGCTTTGCTCCACCTCGTGGCCGTCCTGGGAACAGCTACACCAGCAGCCCTGGCCTTACATTAGAGGAATTACAAGAGAAGGCTACTCCACACTGTTCCATAACACAGATGTTTTTACCATGTGCAGATGGCCTACTAAACCGTTTCTATTCTTAACTTCGTGAATTATGAGTTTCTTCTTCCTGAAAAAACTGAAATACCTCTGAATATTCACAAAATGTCTATGATGGGAGGACACATTATGGAGCCAAAATATTTTCTCCTACATTTGTTTTCACCTTTGGATGGCCTAAGAGAAAAGTGCTTTTATTCTGGAGCGAGAGGACTGATCATCAGATAGAGGGGAATTTCTGGTCAAGTCATAGCAGCCGTTGTAGGAGATACTCTCTGTATGTTGTCTTTGGGATGTCAAAGACCGAGCACCTTTTATTCAGCCATTCTGCAGCATGTGTGTTATTACTAGGGGAGACGACAACAAGTACAAGTGACTGGGGCCACTGCAGTAGGTTAAGCTGATGTCTGCAGTGCCCACATCCCATATGGGTGCTGGTTGGAGTCCTGGCTGCTCCACTTCCAATCCAGCTCCCTGCTATTGCTCCTGGGAAAGCAGCAGAAGATGGTCTAAGTGCTTGGGCCCTTGCACCCACATGGGGAACTCAGAAGCTCCTGGCACCTGATTTTGGCCCAGCCCTGGCCATTGCAGCCATTTGGGGAGTGAATCAGCAGACAGAAGATATCTTTCTCTCTCTATAATTCTGATTTTCAAATAAGTAAGTATATAAGTCTTTAAAAAATAGGCAAGTGACTGTCTACATTTCTAATGCCTGGAATGCAAGATGAATAATGTATTGCTGAAGATTTACAGACAGGTCAAATGGCGGGAGTTTAAAAGGAGCTCCCCGTATTTCAGTGGAGATTGCCATCTCATGGAAAGGTTTAAAAAAAAATCCTATTTCTTGGCTACACTGATTATTCAAGCCCTGACGAAAGCCAGCCTGAGATGGGGTCCCTGAGAAAGTCCCCGTGAGCCAATGTCTTCAGTTCCTCTCCTTCCACGGCGTTAACACCCATCAGGCTCGAGCCCAGCAAGCTCCCCCGGGAACCCAGAGTACACCTGCACCTCCACGGCCACGCAGGCCAGGCAGGTGTCATCTCTGCCATCAGCCTTTGAATGTGGGAAAGAATCTGTGGCAGCTGCTGGCCCTTTAAGGGGATGAAACCCCATAACTGTCCCCAGAACATGGCAGACAGTGGGCTCCGGCGGTTCTGGTAAGAGTGGTCACCTGCAGCTGGAGAGATCCAACAATCAGAGGTCAGAGAAATGTGAATGGAATCGATAGCACACTTTCTTGTGTTTCTTTGTGTATATTTCTCAGGGCGTGGAGCGGTGGTTCTCAAAGTATAACACGCACGAGAATCACAGAGCGTGGTCCCGTGCCCAGAGGCGGGCTGCGTCCCAGGTGGTGCTGCCCAGGGCCAGGCTGTGAGCTCAGTTCAATGAGCTCAGTTCAATGAGCAGGTGCAGACACCTGCGTGACTGGTGTTTGTGTGCAGTCGCCTGAGTGCTGGGTGCTTGTGGGCGTTCTTATGTCTCCTGAAGCTTCAGGCCTCCTGGCCACATGTGCTGTGGAGCGTCCCTGTCCCTGTCCCTACCTGGCTGAGGAGTGTACAAACAACACAGAGTGCCCAGATGCGCGGCTTGAGTCAGCAGCTGCGATTTCTGTCCAGGTGCCCTGGACAAGCAGATCGTAGTTTCAGAATATTCCTCTCCTGACTGGTTCCTGAGTTTCTGGAAACTGAGAGGTAGAAATGGTCAGGAATACATCATCACTTGGCTGGCGCTGTGGTGCAGCGGGTTAAACCACCACTTGCAGCACTGGCATCCTGTATCGGAGCAACAGTTCGAGTCCTGGCTGCTCAGCATGGCCCAAGTACTGACGGCCCTGCAGTCCGGATGGAGTTCTGGACTCTTGACTTCGCTGCGGCCATTTGAGGAGTGAACCAGTGAATGGAAGATCTCTCTCCCTCTCTCTGTCGCTTTGCCTTTCAATTTAATAAATGAGTCTTAAAAATAAGCCATAGAGGGGCTGATGCTGTGATGCAGTGGGTAAAAGCTGCCGCCTGCAGTGCTGGCATCCCCTATGGGCGCCAGCTGGGGTCCAGGCTGCTCTACATCCGATCCAGCTCTCTGCTACGGCCTGGGAAAGCAGTGGAGGATGGCCCAACTTGGGCCCCTGCACCAGCATGGGAAACCTGGAAGAAGCTCCTGGCTCCTGGCTTTGGATCAGCGTAGCTCCGGCTGTTGCAGCCAGTTGGGGAGTGAACCAGCGGATGGAAGACCTCTCTCTCTCTCTCTCTCTCTCTTTTTCTCTCTCTGCCTCTGCCTCTCTGTAATTCAGCTTTCAAGTAAATAAATAAATAAATAAACAAATCTTTAAAACAAAGAAGCCGTAGATACAAGAACAAAGGGTACAGCCGAGTGGTGACTTGGAATCCCGACAGCTCTCCCTACTAAAGGGTGGTGCTGTTCTCTGAATGCAGTGCCCCTGGCCTCACCCCTGTGCAGATGCAGCCCAGCCTCACTCCTGCACCCCACACCTGGGTGAGGTGAAGCCTGCTGGCCTCTCAGCCTCTTCCTGCCACTCTTGCTTCCAAGTGCCAAGCTTCTGGCAGATGGAGCCCTAAGTAAGCCTGGGCATGCCGCCTCCCAGTATTCCTCTGCACCTGTGCACATCTGATGCCTTTGGAGTAGAACACTCTTCCTTCCTGCCTGTCCCCCTTGCTTGTTTGGTCCATTAGTATTCATTCTTGGTAAAAAAAAAAAAATCCATATGTAGGGGTTATTTTAAAACTTGAAAATACAAAGAATTATGGACAAATGTCCACTGAAAACAGGTGACTGAGGAATCCGGCTTTTGGCCTGGTGCCACACTCACCTCCCAAGTTGTGGTGCCTGGGCTCAAGTGCCTGTTCAGCTCCCTATTCCAGCTTCCTGCTAATGTGCACCCTGCGAGGTCACAGGTGACAGCTCAAGTCTCTGGGTCCCCACCACGCATGGGGGAGACCCAGTATACTGAGTCCTAGCTCCTGGCTTCAGCCTGGCCCAGCCTCAGCTGCTGTGGGCATCTGGGGAATGACCAGCAGATGAGATCTCTGTTTCTTTCTGTGTGTCCCTCTGCCTTTCAAACAAAAAACAATAAATTGAAAAAAAAATTAAAAATGTAAGTGTAGTTCACACTTGGATTCCTTGATTTATTTTCTCCAGGGGATTTTTAATGCATGTGTATTTATGGGAATGTCCCTTAAAATCATTTGTGGCATGTTTTCCACTTAGTATTACATTGTAAGCTTTCTTCTTAATGGTTATAAGTTATTTGAAAAAAAATTTAATGGTTATATAATTTTCACATGTTTGTGTGTTTATCCTTATCTATCTATCTGTATGAAGGATTTTCCCATTTAACCCTTGTTTTGGTTGTTTTCATTTTTTGCTATTAAAAATAATGTTGCATGGAGGATGGCCCAGGTCCTTGGGCCCTGCACCCCATGGGAGACCAGGAAAGCACCTGGCTCCTGGCTCCTGCCATCGGATCAGCGCGGCGCCGGCCGCAGCGCGATGGCCATGGCAGCCATTGGAGGGTGAACCAACGGCAAAGGAAGACCTTTCTCTCTGTCTCTCTCTCTCACTGTCCACTCTGCCTGTCAAAAAATAAAATAAATAAATTTAAAAAAAAATGCTGCAGAGAAAATTTTGACCACCCCTCTGATTTTTTCCGAGAAGATTCTAGAATGGAAGTTCTAGAACAAGAAGATAGCACTTTAGGTCCCTGGATAAACCAATAACGATTTGTTTACAGTACTATAAATGCACAGAGCACTGTATACAAATTCATGCCACTAAACTGCGACTGGATGAGATATTGCTGGCAACTGTTGGCTCTAAAAAGAAAACCAAGAGAGGGCTGCTGCCGTCCTGTGCTGGGCGCTGCTGCAAGTCCTGGCGCTCTGCTTCGTAGCCAACTCCCTGCAAATGCACCCGGGAAAAGCAGCAGAAGACCCAAGTGCTTGGGTTCCCGCCACCCTTGTGGAACACTGAGATGGAGTTTCAGGCTCGTTGGCTTTGGCCTGGCCCACACCTGGCTGTTGCAGGCATTTGGGGAGGGGACCCCTGGATGGAAGATCTCCTCTCCTTCTCTGTGTCACTCTGCTTTTCAAATAAATAAATCTTAAAATGAAAAGAAAACCAAAGGAGCAGGTATTTAGCCAGGTGCTTAGAATGCCCGCGCCCTCCAGTGGAGAGCCTGGGCTCAGCTCCCGTTCTGGGCTCCGGCTTCTGTCCCTGCAGACCACAGCTGGTTCCTGAATCCCTTGTGGGGACCTGGGTCGCATTACTAACCCCTGGCTCTGGCCCTAGCCAGGCCCAGCCATTGTGCCATTTGCGGAACGAACCGACAGAGGGGAGCGTTCTGTCTCTGTTTTCTTTCTGCCTCTCAAAAAAAAACAAAACAAAACAAGCCAATGGAAAAAGAAAACAGAAATGTAAACAACAGATCTCTTTCACTTGAAGAAAAGAAATTTCCTCTACAATTTTGAAATTGTTTATTGATTCATTTGAGGTCTTTCAGATAATGGACATGTATCTTAACTCACCTTCCGGACAGAGGGCACAAAGATGGACTTCTCTGACAGTAAGACACACATGCACTTACACAGTAAACATACCACCGAACGTCAAACTTTGAGAACATATGCATTTTTCATTATGTCATATTCTTGCAGTATACGTCGGTACTCCTAATTTGACTTTTTCACAGTTGCGCTACACAAGAAATTATATAAATACATGTGTACATATATATATCCTGATAAACACCATCTCTGAGATATTGGCAAAACCAGAGGTGGAAAAAAAACGAGGTTGCTGCTCTCAGCACAGGTAAATAGTCAGTCTTCGGAAGAGATTGCAGGCTGCAGGCCCCCGGGCGGTGCACGTGGCAGGCTCTCCACTCCAGAGTTGCAGCGTGTCGGGCACTGGGAACCCCCAAGACCCTTTTTTTTTTCTTCTCTGAGTTTGTGGGCCATCGTCACATCTTGCCTGACATCTGCTTATAGAATCCCCACCCCCTCCCCATGACTCTGAATGCTTGACCTGGCCATGTTTCCTGCCTCACTCTCCTGAGAAGCATCTAGGATCCAGGACTGACGTAGAACAATCATCAAAGAAAAGAACTAAGCAGGAACCAGGATGATGTGAAATAACCAAACCACGAAAATGAATCGGGTAAGAAACCATTTCTTCTTAAGAACCTCGATCAGACAAGTGTAACCAATTGTGTTTCCACTGTGTCTAAACAGAGACTAGGTCTTAAGACTTCAAGTTCAAATATTGGGAGGATTACTACCATTGCTTTAAGACATTTAACATTGTTTCAACATGCTAACTTCTAGTCACTGCTGATAACAGGAAAGGAAAAAAATGCATCAAATTGGTCCATGAATAGAGAATGATGGCATATTGTTAAGACACAGTCAATACTTTGGGAATACAGTTTTAGATGCTTCTGTTATGGGAGACAACTTTTACGATTTAAATTTTAAGATTCAAACACAGAAACAAAAACCACTATGGTTCTTTGACGGAATATGTGGTCTCCGCTTCAGCTTACCAGGGAGTGCCCGACCCAGTCACAGGCTGGATTCCGTGTGAGATCGGCATGAACTGCTGGGCCAATTTCCGTACTGAAGAGGTCTTATGAAGATCTTGTGCAAAAACATGCGAAATACTGGAGTTCTGAAAATGATGAAAATCCAAGGGTCCACGATGGAGATCACAGAGAGGAAGCGCAGGGCCTGGAGGTCGTCGGCCTCTTGAGAGCGCCTGTCCACCGCCTTGAAAGCGCCGGAGTACGCACGATACTGCGGGGAGGAGAGACAGTGTTACTCTACCTGGTGGGTTCACTGCTCCCCTCACCCTGCGTCCCCTCCCCTCGCAACGCTCGCTTTCGGTGAATTGGTGAGCAGCTAAGGCCGCTGCATGGGGAGAACCCTGGAAGCTGGTGGGAGGTGGGGCTCACGTGCAGACCTGAGCCCGTCCCAGCGGCTGGGCTCAAGGTTCCAGGTCCCTGCCCTGCCAGGAAGCTCTGAGCCGAGTCGCCAGGTCCCCAGAAGCACGCAGGCTCCCTGTCCCGCTAGAACCCTTAGCTCTATTTGCGTTTCTTCCTCCTGCCTACTTCCTGTCTTCTCTGAGTGGCTAACGCAGACCTCAGCTGCATTTCTGAGATGTCACACATACGGAGACAGCAGCAGGGCAGAAGCTTTTAACCAGCGTGAAGAGACAGGCAACACGACAACGAAATGACCCAGCGTCACTTGGCCAAGGAACTGTCCAGCTCCTGAAAATGCGCGCCTTCTGCATGGTACAGACGGCTCCCTTTCTGAGCTGGCACCTTCTTTTCAGGCTACGGGGGGAAACGTGCACAAAAATACGAGCTCGCGCACCTGTGTCCAACCAACTCCTGGCATCTGCAGCTTCCCCGGGGCCCTGCTAACTGCCGCAGGCCACGGCTTTTCCTGCATTCCGGCAACTCTGCAGTCCAGCCAGCGCTCCCTCTGCTTCCTGCCGCCCTGAGGCTGGCCAGCTTTCCTTTGTGCTGTTACATTCCCTACTGAGATTTCAGTGCACAGTGGGACACACGGACCCTAGCGGAACAGGAAATACGCACACCCACCGGGCGGGGACATGGGCAAGTGCAGCGGCCTGACCCACCGCGGGCGCTCAGACAGCATCTCCCGGAGAAGACGCGTTGTCCCTCATCCTTTCCTCGCCTCTTCACGTACAGCACTTCAGTGGCCCGGCTGAAGACGTGACTTAGGAAGACGTCCTACACTGGGCTGGCTTCTGTCTGGGTCCCTCCTTGTCCTTACTGCCTCGTAACATGAATAGGAGTTAAAATGGCTGATGTGCAGACAGAGCTATTTCCAGGGGCTTGTTCTAAGTACTTTTTTAAAAAAATTCAGTTTATCCTTACAAAAGTCCTATGAAGTCAGTATAAATAATATCCCTGCTTTACAGACGTGGAAACTGACTGCATGCCCAGATCTTCCCTCCCTTCAGGGTCCACTTCAAGGATTTCCCCTCTTAGGAGGGGTCTTTGAGGCAGTGGCTAAGTAGTCAGCACTGGGGCCTGTCTGCCTGAGCTGGAGTCTCCTCATTGGATGATCCCCTTTCTTTTTCATGTTTAGTTATTCATTTATATTTGAAAGAGCAACAAGGCAGGTGGGAGAGAGCTTTTTTATTCACCTGCCAAATGCCCGTAACAGCTGGGGCTGGGCCAGGATGAAGCCAAGAGCCCAGAACTCCATCCAGGTCTCCCATGTAGGTGGCAAGGACTCAAGTACTTGAGGCATCTTCTGCTGCCTCCCAGGATACACGTTAGTGGGAAACGGACAAGAAGTGGAGGAGCCAGGACTCCAGCTGGCACTCCAATATGGGATGTGGGCGCCCAATGGAATGGCTCAACCCACTGCACCACACTGCCTGCCTCAGTCCCTTCCTTGGATGTGCAACTTTGGGGAAATCCATGTCCTCATCTTTACAGTGGGAGTCACTGGACCTGCCCTCCAGGGGGTGTGAAGTTTGAATGAGAGGGATGCGTAGAACAGATTCTAGCACGTGACACAGAGTTAGTGATTGGTATTCTTTTTATCAGTTACAAGTGACTCCCTTCTTCCTCACAACTTCCCCATTTGCCTAATCACTCGCCTTCCCCTGGTATTATAGCTCGTGTGGGCGCCTGTGGCCCTTTTCTGATTTCCTCTCTCCACAATGGATAGGAGAGCATCTTGGATGCGGTAGGACCAGCTGTCTGCTGAACGGATCCATGGGTGACAACAGGCTGTATGCTCAAGTTGATTTTAAGAGCAACACTTTACATGCCTTTCTCCTTGAAGTGGAGAGGGGCAAAATCCAATTTCACCTCTTTGAGAAAGCTTGATCAGCTGGGACTGAGTCCAGGCAGCAGTGCTGGCTGAATGACAAGAAAGCTGTGGTTTGAGCTTTGGGACTGATGCTTGCATTAACAAATCTGTTTATTTCCATACAGTACTTATCCATGTCAGTTCCACTGGGTTCTTTGTACTTTCAAGTCACTTGGTTGATTTTGGAAATGTGTTGTTTGACACTTGTTTTTGTTGTTTTGTTTTTTAAAAAACTTATATTTCAATTCCATTCTTCCATGAACTTAAAATTTTTTTTATTGGAGAGGGAAAGAGGGAAAGAGGGAGAGAGAGAGCCTAAATGCTTGCAGAGTTGGGCCAAAGCCAGAAACTCAATCCAGGTCTCTCACATGAGTGGCAGGAACCCAAACCTGGTGACTCCCAAATGGGACATAGGCATCTCATGCTTTAGGCTAAACACCTGCCAAATTTGGCGTTTATTAATAAAGTGGCTTAATTTAGAGGATCCGTGTGAGAAGAGTGCCCTCTGGTGGACTTGGGAGTCACTGAGAACACATCGCCTTTTTTCCAAGCAGGAGACTTGACTGAACATCCCTGCTTGAGAGATCTCTTTAGATTCTGATGAATCAAATTGAATTTTTTCAAAAAGATTTATTTATTTGAAGGACAGAGAGACAGAGAGGGAGGGATAGAATAGATAGAGAGAAAGATCTTCTTCCATTTTCTCATTCATCCCCAAATGCCTGCTCTAGGCAGGGTGGGCCAGGCTGAAGCCAAGAACTCCACCCGGGGTTTCCCATGTGGGTGGCAGGGACTCTAGCACTTGGGCCACCTTCCAATGCTTTCTCAGGCACGGTGGCAGGGAGCTGGATCAGAAGCAGAGTGGCCGGGACTCGAACCTGTGCTCTAATATGGGATGTGGACATCCCAAGTGGCAGCTTAATCTGCTGTGCCACCATATCCTCCACTCAAACTGTCCTTTTCGCCAGTGCCTCCTTTACCCCAGAGCTCGCCCTCTTCTCGGGCCCTGTAAGTCCACTTCGCACCCTCTCCCTTGGGCTCATCTCTTGCCCTTCCAATGCTTCTAACATCCTCTTTGGGAAGAAACATCCTTTCTGCCTACCGTGATGACATGCGCACAAGAGCTGTCTCAGTGGGTGCAGGTGCGGGGTACCCTCTGCTACTCTCTGCCTCCGTGGGTTCTTATCTATGCAATGACCCAAGTCCCTATGTATCTTTCCCTAGCCTTTAATTTTCTTGAGTGGCGCGTGATCTCCCCTGCTCCCCCACCAACTTCCAGTACACGGAGGCTTTCTAAGGTAAGACTCGTTTTGATGGAAAGATGTTACATGCATTAAGAATGCACAGCAAACAGCCTCTCAAGCCCACCCCGAGATCTCTACTGTTTCTTCCTGTTGCATCAGATCAGAAATTTGAACACTTGTTCAAACACTTGCTTATTCTAACCCAGCAGTATTGTGATGCTAAGCAATCAACCACACCCCAGCAAATTTGTCACTGGTCTAATACAGTCTTCATGCTATGAGTAAATTATTACTTTTTAATATAAAACACCCCCCATATACAGCTGTATTTTTCCAGTTGCTATGTCCATTTCTCATAGAAGAGTGGTTTTCAGAATGTAGGGTCTCCAATACCCATTCAATGTGTCCAAGACAGGAAAACTATTTTTCATTAAGAAGTTGTTATCTGGGCTTTCACTCTCCTCCCATGGACACATGAGTTTGACCAAGGCTGTATGGCATCACTTCCACAGCTGTTCCTGTGTTTTCTTGGCCTTTCTATGGTAATAGGGTGAACGTGTTTCCCTGTGTGAGTTTTCAAAGATTTCTAGGATATCTGTGCTTCTGACATGCGTTTTTCCTGTTTCACTCACTGTAATCTCCATAACCTTACTATATTTCATTAAACCATTTCAAAATTCCATGGTTTCCCCTGCACCTATGCAAACCACAAAAGCAAATTTTGCTATATACTTTTGCAGTAATACTTAAAAACTTCTTCAGCTTAACTTTTAATATGATACATTTAACTTTCAATACTGATACATAATCCATGTAAAAAAAGCTCTTTGGGTCCTAAAGACTTTTTAAAGAGTATAGAGGAAGTCCTTAGACCCCTCTCCCAAAGATATGAAAACCACTGCATTAGAACATAACTGTATCCTGAATAGACTGCATTTTTTGATTAATTTTATAAGACCATCAGGCAATAATAATACATGGAAGTTATATAATAAGTAATATTGATGGTAATGATAGAGGTCAGACACACACACACACACACACACACACACACACTTTCCTATTCCTAAGACAAGAGTGGCCTAGAAAGTGTGGTGATCTCCACTAGCCATTCAGTGTGCCCAGCAAGGTCAACACTGTTTTCTTAAGAAAGCTGCTGTGTGCACATCCACTCTCATTCTCACACAAATGTCCAGTGAGCTTTATCAGGACCAAATGACATGTGATGACATCACTCCCTTCTCGGCTATCTTACAGGACAAGGATGGCTACCGTTGTTTTACGGATGAGGTAACTGAGCTCAGAACCAGCTCATTAGGCCTCGATTGTAGGCAGGAAGCCACGGAACCAGACTGAACCCCATATCCGATGCTAAAGCCCTTATCCCTTCCAGAAACTAGCCATGAAAAATGCAGTCTGCACTACACGTATTTTTGACTGTACATTTCTTTAAGAAATAACTTTCATCCATTATTTCCTTCAGTCATCACAATACCCTGTGAGCTAGTTGAATCTCCCTAGCCACAGATCCCACTGCAATGCTCTTTCCACTGGATTATGCTGCTTTCTGCATTGTTCCTACTAAAACATTCAGCCTCAGGACAAAACTGTCTTGTATGGGGCCACTTTCCGTTTTTATCATAGCACAGGTAAGCAAGGTTCCAACTTTAGAATAAGGGTCTGCAAACATTTTCCGTAAAGGACCAGAGAATAAATATTTTAGGATGTACAGCCAAGAGACAAAATTATGATTTGGTAGGTACTTTATAACATGAGAGAATATGCATTTGTACAATTTTTATTGATGAGACTAAAAAATGGAGAACCTTTTGGGAGGAGAAATACACATTTATTAAGGAGAAGAATGTATTTTTTTTCTCTTGGCTTAATTGAGGCTCAAAGTTCTCAGCCTTATCATTAAATGGTTGCTATTCATTGGTAATAACTACTATGCACTCCAGAGCTGCACAAAAAACAGCAGGCAGGACAGAAGTGGCTCCGGGCTGAGGTTGGCTGGTCCTGTTTAAAGTGTCCAATCAGTAGCTTCTACGTCACCTGGGAACGCATTAAGGCTGCCAACTGGTCCAGAGAGCCTGAGTCGGAAACCGCTGGGGATGAAGCCCAGGCATTCATTCTTTTGAAAAGCCTGGCGGACAAGTCCCTGCACGCTGGAGTTTGAAAACCACTGCTCCGCAGCTTTATGCGGATAGCGGTTTCTTCCTTTCTTTGTTTTTGGGGCTTCTGACCCCAATCCTGCATGAGGAGTCTGCAGACTAGCTTCTCCACCCCAGGGGCAGTGTGCCATTCGCTTAATGCTGTTCCCATTGGGCAGGTACACCGGGGAAGGGGGGAGGGGATACCAACAGCGGCCAGGTGTCTGGGAGCCCAGCGGTGCCTCCCTCTAAAACCACTAGGTGCTCTCCGCCCCCTGGAGTCACCCGAAACCCGGAATCATGGCTTTCGTGTCGCCCCACTTGTCCAGACGGAACCTAAATCTGTCAAGACAGGTCGCCATCGCCGCCGAAACCTGCGTGCGGCTGCCTCCCGGTTTCTGGCAAGCACCGGAGACCGCGGCACCGCGCCTGCAAGCGGACCCGCGAGTCTTTCCTGCACTCAACCCACGCCTTCAGTCCCCGGCCTCCGCAGCCCCCTCGGGCAGGAGCAAACCGTGCCTTACTTGCTCTGCCCGCCAACACCCCGGGGGCTCCCTCGAGACTCTAGGGCCCCTTCCTGGCTCCACTAATATTACAGGGAGCGCTAGGGATTAAAACCCTGCCCGGCCGTCTGCAAGGAGGAGAGACGCGGTGCTGCCCAGCAGGAATCCGGGTCTGCGCCTCAGCCGTCCGGGGCGCAAAGGTGACTCAGGGGGAAGCGAACTCTGCCGCTTGGAGAGGGCATTGCCCGGCTGAGGGGGCCCCGTGCGCCTTGCTCGTGGTCTTCCCTCCTCTGACTGTCCCTCTTATCGCCCCCCCACAAACCGGCTGGTCTCTGAGGGCTGTGGCGGGCATCCGGTATAGGGAGCGCAGTCAGCAAGCCTCCCAGCTCAGGGCGCAGAGCCCCGTCGCGCCGCGTCCCCCACAGCCGCGACGCCCAGCGACTCACAATCAACGGCAGCGAGCACATGGAGAAGAGCACCGTCATGAGGGCCAGCAGCAGGAGGTGATCCAGCTCCTCCAAGGGGTGCGGAGACGCCCCGCGCTCGCCGGCGCCCGGCCCGGCGCGCTCCCTGGGGCCGGAGCGCGCGTGCCGGCGCAGGCGCTGGTGCATGGTGTAGAGGTTGCGCATGGCGCCCAGGTTGCACAGCACGATGGCAAGCACGAGCAACGCCATGAGGCTGGAGTAGAGCACGGAGTAGCCCAGCACGGCCAAGGAGCTGTCGTCGTGGACCATTTGGATGAAGCACAGGTGCCGGGCAGTACTGCACGAAGCGCCCGAAGCCCGCCAAGGGCAGCGCGCAGAAAGCCAGGCAGAAGACGCCCACGACGGGCGCCACCAGCGCGCCCCGGCGCACGGTGATGTGGCGTCGGTAGAAGAAGGGTGCCCCAGGGACAGCCAGCACTCGAGCGCCATGGCCAGGAGCTGCAGCGTCGAGGCGAGCCCGAAGAAGGACATGCAGAAGGCGAAGGCCTGGCACAGCGAGTCTCCGGGCACGGGCATCAGCCCCCACAGGCTCCGGTTCTGCGCGTAAGCGGTCAGCACCACCGGGCTCACGAGGCATTTGCCCAGCAAGTCGGTCACGGTCAGGCCGCACACCAGCACGTAGAAGACCGAGGGCGGCGGGCGCGACGGCCGCGGCGGGCACGAGCCCAGCCCCGAGCGCGCCAGCAGCCCCAGCGCCAGCAGGTTGCCCAGGAGGCCCGCGCTGAAGAGCACGCTGCCCATCGTCGCCGAGTTGCCCTTCTCCACCGACGTGGTGTTGTGGCAGCGGTAAGAGGGCGCCCTCATGGCCGGCGGGCGGGCTGCGGGGCCCAAGCTTCGGGAGCACGGGGCTCCCGGCGCGCGGCTGCGGAGGAGCCCCCGGGGCGCGGGCGCACGCGGCTCGGCCCGAGAGGCTAAGCCGCAGAAGAGGCTCGGCTAGGCGCAGCGGGCGGTGCCCCGGGGCCGGCGCCTCCCAGCCCGACTCTGGGTCACACCCTCTCACGGGCGGGTCGCGGCCTCGGGGCTCGGGAAGGAAGGAAGGGAGGCAGGAGGGAGGGAGAGAGGGAGAGAGGGAGGCGACCAAGTCTGAGAACCCAGGCGAGGTGGGAGAACTTTTGGGATGGAGGTGGGGAAAAACCAGCCAGCGCCAGGGAGGAGGACCACGAGGGGTTGGGGGCGGACGACTCTGGAAATGAGCAGAGGGGTTGAGAAAGGGCACGCCCTTTTGTCTTCGATTAGTGACACTCGAGCCAGCCCGGTCCACAGGGTCTTAACCACGATCTCAACCGAGACAGCAGGTGACAGAGCTGGGCCTCGAAAGCAAGCCGGGTGTCTGTTTATAGAGCTGCACACTCAGCTTGGCTCCCTTGGCTGCTCCTCCCAAGAGGCTGGTCAGATTTCAAGGGGGTGGGCCCAGGGAAAAGCCAGAGGCAGTGTTGGCCCTGGTGGGCATCCTGAGACCTTGTGGGTGCAGGGCTGTGGAAGCACGTGTGCTTCATCACATAGGCCTGTGTTCAAGTCCTGGTTCAGGTTCTTCGTTGCCGGCAAACCCCCCCTCCCAGCAGGGACAAGGAGATAACCCATGCAGAGTGCAGAGGCTTAGGAATTGCTTGCTACAGGCAGTAGGCTGTCACTCAAGTGATGGAAGGGTGTTTTGATAACAGATTCAACTGCAGTTTTGAGCATGAATTTTGAAACCAGAAAAAAAAAAATGGACTTGATTTAGGGCTCTCTGCCTCTTCTGGTTTGCTACTACTAGAAAACATTTCTTTTGCTTCATAAAGGCTAGGAGATTATTCATGGTTTGTTTCTTTAATTAACACCCCGTATCCTAGACGAGAAACTGGCTTTGAGTGTGGACTTGGAGCCGCATAGCTGGGGCCGTATTATGTAAGCAAGTAGATTATTCCTTGGCCTGAAGACGCCCATTCCTGGGCCCTGTGCCCACTCCGATGGATGGTGTCACAGAGAGGGCAGCGTCCTGGGGCTTCAGATGCGGCAGCCTGATGGACAGGCGGGAGGTGGCCTCCAAGCTGAACCTGGCCAGTGCTGCAGGCCACGGTGTGCAGAGGAAGCAGCCCGGCGTTGGACGTCGTTCTGCACGCCACCGCTAGCTGTGTGACCTTGGCTCAGTGACTCTGAGTTTTCATTCCCTTAGAAATAGGATCTGGGGCATAATGCCCACCTCAAAGCCCCCTGTGGGGCTGAGAACAGGTGAGCTCCGAGTGACCGTGGTAATGAGAGCTGGCACGGAGGGCCATCTCCTTGCTGCATGCCAAACCTTCCCATGCATCCACCCGCTGGATGGCCTTGCCTAGGGTTGATTTCCTTGTCGTCTGCCTCCTTCTCTCCCTCTCTCATCCCCACCTCCAGCCTCTAGCACCAAATAGATTTGTAAAAGCTCTACTTGAGTTAATGAAGTGGCAGGAGGAACAGCTCCTTGCACCCAAAGACACAAGACCCGGATGGAAGCTGGGGTCTCCTCCCCCGACACACCACAGTTTATACCCATTTCTGGACGGGCACAGTTTCCTGCAGTCCCATGATGGTATCCAGAGCACACCGGGCAGATTCCACCTTCTGAACCCTTCCTTGAAGCACGTAGCACGGGGTGTGCATCCGAAGCACATCTGCTCCCTTTCTTGCAGCCTTAAATATTATTTTTTTCTGCTAAGGCTGCCACCAACTCCCTCTCCCTTCCAGGAACAAGTGCACAGGGAGCCAGGGCCCAAGAATGTAAACAGCTTGTTCAAACCAGCGCCGCAGTGCGAGTGACGGGCCAGCTGTGGGGCCCTGACACGGTTCGCATATGTCATCCTCCACAGGTTGAAGGCTTTGAACCGGTACAATTCAGGAAACCATGTGTTTCCTCCTGCCCAGTGTCGCTGGCCTGTACCGGGGGGGTTCCGGTTGCCTTTCCTGCCTGCTCTGCTGCTGTCCACCCTGCCTTGCCCGCAGCCTTAACTCTAGAGCCTTTCTGTCCCAGCTAAGAAAAGCATTGCCTGTTCCTGCATCCAGTGTTTTCTGAGTTGTTCCTTTGTGCCAGGCAAGGGAGCAGGCCCTGCGGAGCGCACAGCAAGGGAGGCAAAGCAAATGGTACTGTGACTTCCACAGGCTTGTAAGTTTCTCCATCAGCTTTCAGAGCAACCGGGTGAAGCTGCTTTTGAATTGTTTTGTTTTCTATAAGAGAGAAACTGTTAATGACAATATCTTGGGCCTAGTTAGTGGTCACTTTACCTCTTTTATCTACAAAGCTGAACCAGGCTGCTTACTTGTGCTATAAGATAAATCGTCCAGAAAAATATAAATAGGGCATCATATGTGAGCAGACTATTTTCAATATATGATTACATTGTGATACTGTAAACATGAAATCAGATATGTGCATGGATATGTTCTAGAAGATGACATAAGCAAATGAAAACATTGACTTAAACTTGAGAAGGGATGCTAGGAAAAAAATTCTCCTTGAGTCTCTGGGTTCAAGTCCCAACTCTACTCCTAATTCTAGCATCCTGTTAATGTGATCTCTGGGAGGCAGCAGGTGATGGCGCAAGTACCTGGGTCCCTACTACCCACATGGGAGGCCTAGATGGAATTTCAGGCTCCTGGCTTCAAGCCTGCCCCAGTCCCAGATGTTGCTGGCATTTGAGGAGTGTATTAGTAGGTGGAAGACATCTTTCTCTCTTTGAAATAAATAAAAATTTAAAAAGAAAAAAAATTCTCCTTGGATTTCTACTGTTTTCAATGCAGTATGTGTAATAATTATTTTAAAATGTTTCAAGCATAGAACAAATGTAATGCTTCTGACCAGGTTTTAAGAAGTGGGGAAGAAGGAAAAAAAAAAAAAGAATAGCTTTGTTCTGGGTTCCTTCTGACCATGCTTCTGAATCGTGTCTGCCCCTCATTTCTCCTGAACGCCAAGGAACTGGCCTGGGCTTGTCAATGGGGAGGAGGGAAGCTGAGAGCAACTAGGACATCCCTTCCCCAGCTTGGAGGTTTCTCCCTGCTGGAGACCACGCCGGCTGCCTTCTCGCATTCAGCTGGTTGTGGGGATGTGTAGGGTCTTGGGGGTGATTTTGTGAGCATTCACATCTCAGCTTCGCTCCTTGCCAGCTCCAGGCCCTTGAGCAATCTTCTAACCTTCCCAAACCCCGGTTGCCTTGTCTGTACAATTGAGGAGAGTGAGGATCATGGTACAGCACTCACAGGGGACTTGTGTGGCACGAAGCAGATCATCTGTGCGGAACTGGAGTTCATAGCCTTGGCTGTGCTTCAGAGTCACCTGGACAGCTTTGCATGTTTCTGAGACTTCAGCACCCAAACCCCTTTACTGGGCTCCCCAGCTGTGCGCCCAGCCCTCAGTATTCTGTGCAGTGTCCCAGTAAACTTCTCAGGTGAGAACCACTGGACTAGATTGTTTAGCATAGTGCCATGATGTGCCTCTGTGTGGATCCATTGCTAACTCATGTCTTCATCTCTTCCAGCTGTCTGCAGAGAAGTTTCTCTCTCTCTCTCTCTTTCCTCTCTCTCTCTCTCTCTCAACATGAAAATGAGACTCAGAGAGCTCAACAACTTTCTGAGTTCACACAACTGCTGTGTGATGAGTCTAGAACGGTGTTCAGTCTTTTGGATTTTCTCAACATTTGCTTTGGAAAGAGAAGGCCAGGGGCAGGAGAGAAGGGAGGGAGCCTGTGGTTTCCAGGGTCTGTTCGGAGGAGGCCGGGCAACCCCCAGGGTCAGAAGTGCCCGTTCCTTGTATTTCCGTGGTTGCATCACAGCTTGTGGCGGAGTCTGCATAGATGCCATTGCCACATCTGTTTGCTAACATTTGCAGCTGGTATGGTGAAGTCTGCATTTCATCTGGACCTGATTTGTAGGTTCCCATTGTCGAGCAGTAATTTCCATCGTGCCGTCTTTGGCTTCCCAACAAGAGACTCAGCCCTGCAGAGGTTCTGGGGGTGAGCGCGTCTGAGCAGACCTCAGCTGGCCTCTGTGGCCTTGTGTAGATCAGGCTCTCATCTCTGTAATGGGTTTGGAGAAAATGTACTTTTAGCTTTTGCTTGGCTGTGGTGTAAACCCTGAGGGTCAGCATGAATTTTTGAAGGTGTGTTTGGGTGGTGCCCAAGAGCAAATCACTTGGAGTAAGCACTCCCTAACCCCATGATTGGCGGTGAAGGGTGCTGACCACTGGGCCTTCCCGCTAATCTGGCTGTGGGTCGAAGGGAGGATGTGGCAGGTGGGCCTGGTGTGGTTCCCTGGAAGCAGAGTCCTGATGCAGATGAAGAGAGTTTGGGAGGCTGTTTAGGAGGGAGTACTTGGGGATGACCAGCTGTGAGTGGGAAGGCCTGGTTACAGCAACGGGCTCCCGTAGCTCAATTAGAGGCGCGAAGCTCAGACATTGAAAGGGCCTGTCCAGGTTGTCCCGAGTTCGAGGTGAGGTGAGTAGGCTTTTCTGTCTTTGGTGGGCCGGGCACTGGGGGCACGGCACAGGGCTTGGGAGCCAGCACTCCCCAAGGCAGGGCAGGTCTGGAAGGGGCCGACCGCTGAGGGCTGTCTCATGACAGCTGGAGGACAGGCTGATCGGGAGGAATTGAAATGAAAAACCAGAAAGGACTCACAGCTCTGGGAAGGACTGACTTGTGAAAGGCTGGAACCTGACACTTTGACGAGAAGCTGACTAATGCCCTGTCTCGGGATATTGAAAAACAGAGGAAGTTAGAAGTTATGATGCCCATTTAATCATTTTCCAGGAAAATTCCAACAAAAAGGAATTCCCATGAGCGCAATTCCAAGCATATAAAAGAATTGCATCTGGTAACATGTCCCATGGATGCAAAGTTAAAATAAATAGCATCCTACTAAAGAAAGCCAATTACTGCAGGAGCCCGAGTGAACTCCTGGGTACAGGTGCTGCGATTCCCCGCTGCACGGAG